AACATCGCCAGTTCCAACTCCTCAAATGTCATTTTGTATTTGTCTGATGTGAAAGTGAACGTTCAGACCGAATAAACCATCTGAAGACGCCATCTTTGGGCTCTTGGAACTTGTGATGGACATTTGTCACTTTGTTTTCTACATTTTAGATCAAATGATTAATAAACAAGTATTTTGCAGATGACTTGATAATGGAAATAAATCATTAGTTGCAGCCCTGCTCTGGTGGAGCCACGATAACGGTAACAAATGCAGTTTTTATTTTCAATGTAGTTTCGAGTTTTGGATTTTGTAGAGTGTCTCCTGTCAGCTGTCCTGCTCCTCCTTCACTCATTTCACTGCACACATCCTGAGGAGAGCCTGAGACACACTCGCACTCAGAGAGTCTGCGAGGACTCGGTGCCGTCCTCCGGTTCAGATGGAGCAGAGTCGAGACCTCTTACAAACTTTTTGAGGCCTTTGTAGACGATCCTGCAGACGAAGAACAGTTCAGTTAATTAATTCATGTGAGATCTGTTGCTGAACACTTAAAGAGTTAAAAATTCTCTTATTCCAACTTCTCAAAGGTGAATATTTGCTGCTTTTCTTCGTCGTAGGAAAATCACATTAGCAGATCAAATGCATTGAACCCACCTGTAGGCGTCGTCATCAGATCTGTGGACAGGAAATGAGTGAAGAGAAGTCAGAGTGGTGTCGGATGTAAAACCGCCCTTTAACCCCGACACCCTACGTTTAAACCCCAGTGCTCACAGGTTCTTGGGGGTCGAGGGGTCGAATGTTAGCCAACAGGCTGGATTATCATGAACAAGCTCACAGCAGCGATCTCCAAACCCTCAACGTGTGCCTGTTTTCTACTTTTCTGTTTGTAGGTTTGTTTACTTCTGGCTTCTCTCCGCAAACTTGTTTTCAAAATCAGAAAAATAATTTACCAAATAGTGAATCTGAGTCTTTTGTTGTTGTTTTCTTTTGTTTTTCTTTGGATTGTAAAAATGTTGAACTGGCTGAAGCACTGGTGTAAATACTGGCTGATGGATGATGAACTGAGAGCGACATTACCAAGCTAATTTATTTGAATGACAGATTGGGGCTTAAACAGGGGATTTTGTGCACTGGTTTTTATTATTATTCTACCACTAGGGGGCGACACTGACTCACTCTGCAGGTCTTCCAGTTCCTGTACTTCTGTGAGTAACTGGCCTCAGAGTTTGGATGTGAACTGTTAATTTACTGCAGACACACAACAAACAGCAGGAACAGGAAGCACATGGTCCAGATACACAGCTGAGGCTGGTTGGTACCACTCCAACATCCACAGAGAACTGAGCTCCAGGTTTTTGTTTCTTTTTCTAAAATGATGGGGCTGTCATTCATGGGTAGAAGCTCATACTTTTATCTGCTTTTAAATGTGCAGGAAATAAACTTTGATGATTTACTGTAGGTCTGGTGTTTTGTTTGCATGTGTGTGATACAGTGTTATATAAAAAATATTTCAGTTAAGAAAATATGCATGTAGATTATTATTGATTTATTGTTACAAATTAAAACTGCCCAACACTGAAAACTAGTTTATATTAGCCTAATTTAATAAATTATTTAAACAATAATTCAGTCATTCTGCTGCCCAATGAGTTCTTTAACTTCTGATACTTTAAAGGTCAGTGTGTAACATTTAGGAGGATCTGTTGGCAGAAATTAAATAAAATCTTCCTAAGAATGTTTTCATGAGTGTATAATCGCCTAAAAATAAAGTTGTGTTTTCGTTACCTTAGAATGAGCCGTTGGTATCTACAGACAGCACGGGTCACATGGAGTCTGCCATGTTGAACCTTCATGTTCCTACAGTAGCCCAGAACGGACAAACCAAACAGCCACAGTAGTTTCTCCTATACAGCTTGTTCTCATTCCCAGGTTATCAAATTCCGACGCGAGCAGTGTTCAGTTAGGTACTCTACCACTAGATTACACAAAATCCTACACACTGTACCTTTAAATACATTCTGCTGCTAATACTTCTACTTAGGAGATTTTTTAAACAAGACTTTCACTTGTAGTGGAGTAATTTAAGTATGGTTACTTCTACTCGAGTAAAAGATCTGAGTTCTTCTGCCACAGCGAGCGGTGGCGGGTCCAGACTGTTTTTGACCGGCGTGAGTTGTGTTTAAGGCGGACCATACAAATGTTTTATACAGTGAAGCTTTCATATGTTCCTCACAATTAACCCTTGAGGCACCTTTAAAATGAACATACAACTTTGAACCTGGGGACCCAAAATGGTCCCTCATAAAAGTGTAATAAAAATGTCATATATAAATATTTATTTTCATTTTCACCACTTCAGACCTAACCATAGATATAGAGTTTTTATTATTATTTTTTATGTTTTTATACCCTTTTGTCATAAAAACACCTGATTTTCTCAGTGGGAAAAACACAAAATATAATTATTTTCAAAAAATGAGGCGCAAAGTGGAATATTGAGGATGAGGTTATAAGAGCCTTGACTAGGTCAATAATTGATAACATTGATTTGGATGCATTATTATTTTTGGAGCAATGATAAGTTTGAACCTGGGGACCCAAAATGGTAATAAAAGTGTCATAAAAATGTCATATATTAATATTTTTTTTCACTTTCACCGCATCAAATCTTTTCAACAACTTCAGACCTAACCAAAGATATAAAGATTTTACAATTATTTAAATATTTTTTATGTTTTCATGCCCTTTTTGTCATAAGATGTCATGTGTATTGTCTTTTGTGTGTGTTCACAATTCAAGGCATAAACCACTGATTTGAGGTGCATTTTAAATGCATGTGTCCACATTTGGCGCACTTTTGTCCAAACCCTTTTGCACTATGGGCACAAGACACACTGCCTCTGCTTTCTGGAGGGCCTTGGCTGTGGCCCCTCCTCCTCCTCTTCCTCCTCCTGACCATGGACCTGGCTTTGGGCTTGTAGGACTAGGCTGGCTGCAGACGGTCTTCTGGGCAAATGTCAGGGACTCTCCATGTGTGGGGGACCATAAGATTTCCCTATATTTTTGGTCTCCATGGAGCGGTGTCATCCTCCACTGCCTCTAACTCTAATTCCTTCTCCTCCTCTTCCTCCACTGAGCTGCAGGGCACTGGCAGGAACCTGGCTGTAGTATAGCCTCCTGCAACTCTGCGTCCTCATATGGGGACATAGTTTTATAGTAAAAAAAAGTCCTGATTTCCTCATATGAGGACATCATTTCTTGTGAAAACTACAAATTGTTCAAAAACAATGCTTGTTTTTATGTCTATCAGGTCCTACTAATCCAAAATAGCTAGGAGAAATTGAAAATGCACCCCAAACAAAAGCTCAGGTCTCAGGAGGGTAAAAGTGCATTGAGTGGTCTGAAGACTAGGAAGGCGCTATACAGATCCATTTACCATTTACCATTCCAACTATTCTCACACACTTCTAACATGCACCTGCATAAACAGCCTTTACCAAGCGAGCCAAGAGGAGGCTCTCTCTTGATCAAGAAAAAACATAAACAGCTCATTTGGCCTTTGATTCAAATTTCTCTCTCTCTCTCTCTCTCTCTCTCTCTCTCTCCTCTCTCTCTCTCTCTCTCTCTCACACACACACACACACACACACACACACACACACACACACACACACACTATTATCTTTTTATCACTCCCAACATACCAAGACCATTTTTATGGCGTTAAGTTTTTTTTATTGCCATGCATTTTGCAAGGTAAGAGAACCAGGCCTCCATTGAAACTTTATGTGATGAAGCTCTGCTGCCCCTGATGGTTTGGGGGACCTAAAACCTGTTTTCCCTGTATTTTAAAGGTAGTGGCTTAGATTTATTAGGTATACATGGGAAAAGCATTATAATATGTTGTATATGTGACTCCTATTGACAGGCCGTTCAAAAGACATTACAGTAAAATATTTACATCTTAAAAAGAAAAGTAATAGTTGGAATGACACTAATAAGCTTTATATGGGAACATTTTATTTATCTACAAAAAACACAATTAGTGTCAAATGATTTGACTTAAATGATTAAACTTAAATAAAGTTGATAATGATAATATATTATTTATATATATAACATTATGATCATATGAATCAAATAAACGGTACCGACGTGATGATGAAGAAACCTGGATTTAAACAAGTACACGCACACGATTTCCAGTTAATAATTAAAGGAGGAACAACGACCACGTGGTACAGATACTGAACATAAAACCAGGACGATAAAACAATAAAACAGTTTGTGTTCAGTCAGTCAGGGTTCAGACTTCATTTTGAGTCGACAGAGCAGAAGGAGAGACAGGAAGTCAGAGTCAGGGTGAGTGTTAATACAACATTATTATTGTTTTACTGTCAAAGTCTCTGATTCATCTGTGAATACAGTGTGATTGGATGAATAATGAACAACAGACTTAATGCTAACTCACAAAAACAAGCTTACATTCAAAGCAGCGTCATTATAGTGTGTGTGTGTGTGTGTGTGTGTGTGTGTGTGTGTGTGTGTGTGTGTGTGTGTGTGTGAGACACTTGAACAGACTTGTTGATCAGGATTCTTGTGTTCTGAGCTCACAGTCAGTGTTACTGGTTCTCTCTCAGACTGACTGAAGTCCAGAAGATCAGTGATCAGTGACAGTGGTTTTCTTTTACAGATTGAATCTTACAGTTCATATTTTTCTCTGCCACTTCAGGTACACCTGGAAAAATAATACAGCTCAGTAAAACGTTATCACTAAGTACAGCCTCAATTAAACTGTTTAAGTTTACCAAAGGTCTGTTTTATGGACCTTTATTAAACTGTACACACAGTCAAGATATTGTGTTATAACCCTGTAGATACAATAAATGTTGGTCCAAAGATCAGGATCACTGTTAGATATTAACTTCATCTCCATTTTACAGTCTCCTCCTCTGCATCTTGTTTCACCTGTTTGTCTTCTTTGTCTTCATCTTGTACGACTTGCATGAACTACATATTTGTCTCAACGCTCTCTGAAGTGCAGAAGATGAGTGACTGTGTGGAGGAAGAGGAGGACAGAGCAGAGTCTCCAATGTCCAGCTGTCTGTCTATGAAGAGTGATTGGTCTAAAGAATATAATCCAGACTTCAGTAATGAACCTGAACCCTCAGACACACAGTAAGAGAACTACCAGTTACTGTTTAACCAACAAACTATCAGTAACAGCAATGTGTGTATAGAGAACTGTGTATTTTTGATAATTTCACACTGATTCACATGAAATTAATAAAAACATCTTGTTGTTTCCAGAAGTCAGTACCACCAACAGAGAGCAGAGTCTCCAATGTCCAGCTGTCTGTCTATGAAGAGTGATTGGTCTAAAGAATATAATCCAGAGTTCAGTAATGAACCTGAACCCTCAGACACACAGTAAGAGAACTGCTACTAACTTCAGTTTCTATCATTATATTATCACCATTATATGATTGTATTTGTCCAAATATAAGACAATATTTATTTCTAGAAATTACATTTGAAACAGTGGGGTTGTATTATACTCGAGGACTATACAGAGTGATGCATTATGGGTTGTTTGTAGCCTTAATGTTGTTGGCTAGCGAGTTACTTCAAGTTCAAGTACTTCATCTTTTATTTTTTACAAAGGAAAAGGCTCCATTGATGAGGACTATCTTTTAGATCAACAGTATCTCTGAGAAAGTTTCCCAACATCAGCAGTCTGAAATTGTTTCTGATCTTCAAAAAGCCTTTTTCCAAACACAGCTGTTGGAAAAGAGAGAGGCATCTTGTGATAAGTGTTGTCTGATATTCTGGCCAATATGGTAGAAGAGATTTTATTACCTGCTAATGAGGTTCTGTTCTGTGCTGATGTTTGTTTGTTTGTTTGTTTGTCTATTAAGATTTTCCATTAAAATAAGTTTGTAGACTAAAATATAAGAATGCAAACTGCCCCACTGTGACTCAGTTAAACATCTTTATCAATAAAAGCAGAATGAAAATAACAGTTTGATCTCTTCAGGCTGCAGCTGCTGTCACATATTTTGGAGCAGATTGTTGTTTGATCAAGAAGACAATATCTCAGATATTGTGATTCAGTAAAAGCTCAACTCAGCTTTTTTACACTGAAATATAACTATGATTTCTAATCTGAGTGATTTTACTTTATCTCCCCAGAAAGAAGAAGAGGAGTGATGTTTCTGTGGAGGAGCAGCTGTCCTGCTGTGTTTTGTGTCAGGACGTCCTGAAGGATCCAGTCTCTACCAGCTGTGGACATTGTTTCTGCAGACAGTGCATCACCTCATACTGGGACCAGTCTGCTTCATCAGGAGACTCCTCCTGTCCCCAGTGTGGAAAAAGATCCAGAACAAGAGCTGGACTGCAGACAGCCAGTCAGACCAGCACTGTACAAAGTAAGACTGTACATCTGTCTGCTGATGTCCTCATGTCTGAAAACAGGACTTTATAATCTATTACAGGGACATTTGTTGTGTTATGCAGTGTATTTAATATTATCATGAATATCATAAATTCAGAAACATTTTTATTGATCCAGATTCTGGTTCTCAGTTTAGTCTCGGAATATGTTTCTTCTCTTTCAGCAGATGGTGGTCTGCAGGAGGTTTTAGATGAACATAAGATCAGTCTGAAGACGAGATGTAAACATGTGACTGAAGGACCTGATGAAACAGGAAGTGGAACCCTCCTCAACAGGATCTACACTGAGCTCTACATCACAGAGGGACAGAGTGAAGAGGTTAATACCCAACATGAGGTGAGGCAGCTTGAGACAGCTTCCAAGATGGAGACCCTCCATGACACTCCAATCAAGTGCCACGAGATCTTTAAAGCCTTACCTGACCAACAGAGACACATCAGAGTGGTTCTGACGAACGGCGTCGCTGGCGTTGGAAAAACCTTCTCAGTGCAGAAGTTCACTCTGGACTGGGCAGAGGGCTTGGAAAACCAAGATGTCAGTCTGGTGGTTCTGCTTTCGTTCAGGGAGCTGAACCTGATCAAAGATGAGCAGTACAGTCTTCTCACACTGCTCCATGTTTTCCATCCAACATTACAGAAGGTCACAGCAGAGCAGCTCGCTGTCTGTAAACTTTTGTTCATCTTTGACGGCCTGGATGAAAGCAGACTTTCACTGGATTTCCACAACAATGAGGTTGTGTCTGACGTCACACAGAAGTCTTCAGTCAACGTGCTGTTGACAAACCTCATCAAGGGGAATCTGCTTCCCTCGGCTCTCGTCTGGATAACTTCCAGACCTGCAGCAGCCAATCAGATCCCTCCTGAATGTGTGGACAGGGTAACAGAAGTACGAGGCTTCACTGAGGCCCAGAAGGAGGAGTACTTCAGGAGGAGATTCAGTGATGAAGATCTGTCCAACAGAATCCTCTCACACATCAAGACCTCCAGGAGTCTCCACATCATGTGTCTAATCCCAGTCTTCTGCTGGATCACTGCTACAGTTCTGGACCACATGTTGACTACAGACCAGAGAGGAGAGCTGCCCAAGACCCTGACTGACATGTACTCACACTTCCTGCTGGTTCAGACAAAGAGGAAGAAGCAGAAGTATGATGAGGGACATGGGAAAAGTCCACAGACGTTAACGAAGGCTGACATGGACGTTCTTCTGAAGCTGGGGAGGCTGGCGTTTGAACAGCTGGAGAAAGGAAACATCATGTTCTACCAAGAAGACCTGGAGCAGTGTGGTCTTGATGTCACAGAGGCCTCGGTGTACTCAGGAGTTTGTACAGAGATCTTCAAAAGAGAGAGTCTGAAGTTCCAGAAAACAGTCTACTGCTTTGTTCATCTGAGCATTCAGGAGTTTCTGGCTGCAGTCTACATGTTCCACTGTTACACCAACAGGAACACAGAGGTACTGGAGGGTTTCTTGGGGGAAGACTACAGCAGGGACACAAAACCAAAGACTTTTCTAGAGAAGATTTCTAAGTTGTTTGGATACAATGATGTTCTCGATGTCTTCCTGAGAAGCACAATGGAGAAATCCCTCAAAAGTAAAAATGGCCACCTGGACCTGTTTGTTCGCTTCCTTCATGGCCTCTCTCTGAAGTCCAACCAGAGACTCTTAGGAGGCCTGCTGGGTCAGACAGACAACAGTCCAGAAATCATCCAGAGAGCCATCAACAACCTGAAGGAGATGAACAGAGATGATATCTCTCCTGACAGAAGCATCAACATCTTCCACTGTCTGATGGAGATCAACGACCACTCAGTCCATCAGGAGATCCAAGAGTTCCTGAAGTCAGAGAACAGATCAGAGAAGAAACTCTCTGAGATCCACTGCTCAGCTCTGGCCTACATGCTGCAGATGTCAGAGGAGGTTCTGGATGAGTTGAACCTGAAGAAGTACAACACATCAGACCAGGGACGACAGAGACTGATTCCAGCTGTGAGGAACTGCAGAAAGGCTGTGTAAGTCCAGATGTGATTAACATTATAAAGCAGTGTTTATCAGTCATGCTGTAAATTCTTTTAGAATTATTCTTAAAATATTCTTCCACTTAAAATATATGTCAGTTGTATTTTGTAACAGATGTTCTTGAGCTGTTTCAGAGGCTGTGAGTGCAAACATGTTGATTTTTCAGTTGGAGGTTTATAGCTGTCAAGTTAATTAACACAGTTATTCTATTTATCTTAAGTAATTTCCCCATGGGATTATTAAAGTATGTCTGATTCTGATTCTGATTCTGATAATTGTAACATTTGACATTTTTTCTTCTATTTATCTTCCTTTGGGTGATGGAGGCGACATGCAAACTTGACAGAACAAAATGAGTTTTTAGAGTTTAAAATAAGATCTGTGTCATTTTCCAAAAGGAGATTTCTAAAGTTCTAGATAATTTCTGTCATACAGTTATAATTTAGTTTGTAATGGTTTTAAGAGTGAACATGGAGGATGTTTGGGGATGCCACACCCACCTCTTATAAGAAAATGAAAAACTAAAAAGCTGGATTTAAAGATTGTACTTTACATTGTTCATGTTACAGGCCTCAAGCATGAGTGAGCAGTGAACAGATATTGTGTCCTGTTTTGTAGGAAAAGCAGAGACTGGAGACGTTAGTTGTGATGGTTCAGCAGGCTGTTCTGTCTTTATTAAACAGAATTTATCTCCTTTTTCTCTTCATTCACACAAACTGTCTCTTATTCACACTATCATCATTATTATAACTCATTTACATTTCACCTTACAACACAAGGGTCCATACTGAACTGCTGGAATAACATTTACAATTCATAAATGTACAAATCAGCTGTTAAGTTAAACTTAATATGCACTATTACCATCAGCACAATATTAGTGCAACCCATTTACAGTATTATCATGACCTGAATTAGCAACTAGAGGTACTTTTAAAGTCCTTGGAAATGTGTTGTAATGAGATAACACACACTAACAACCTGTTGTGTCCAGGAAAAGCAGAGACAGGAGACATTAGTTGTGATCTTTAGGCTGTTCTCTGTCTGAGCAGCAGAAGCCTCACAGAGCCCGAATACAACTAGTGCTCACCAAGGTAGACACTGCCTCTTGTGGTGACACTGAGCAATTACACCTTCAACAATACAACTCAACCCCCTGTAACAATACATCCAAATCTGTCCTTTTCCACAGGTAAATACATAAAGTAACTGAACAGTTGTGACCATACATTTGTAGGTGTCACATTTACAGAACATAAGACATTTTATCTGATTTGGCTTTAAAGGTTTAAAAAGGTCCAGTGTGTAACATTCTTGATAGGTTTCTCCTATACACTTGGAAGTGGAGGGCGAAGTGAGTGAGTGGTGATCTGCAGTCTTCAGGTATGAGAGAGAGTGATGAGAATGATTGTTTCATGTCAAACACAGTGAGATAAGATTATCTGAACCACTGATGTGAAAAGCAAATGTTCATCAAAACAGGAAATGTCAAACTGTTCAAATCCATAAAGTCAATATAAAGTGTGTCTTTCATAATAACATATTTTCTAATATGTGTCATTACAGACTTTCTGACTGTAGACTCTCAGAGACTCACTGTGAAGTTGTGGCCTCAGCTCTGAAGTCCAACCCCTCCCATCTGAGACATCTGGACCTGAGTGACAACAAGCTGCAGGATTCAGGAGTGAAGACACTGTCTGCTGGACTGCAGAGTCCAAACTGTAGACTGGAGACTCTGAGGTCAGTTCACTGACTCTCTGTTACTATTGTAGGTCTGATGTTTAATTAACAACTGAACCTAATTTATGTTCATACATAACTTACATCCATAAAGTTGTAAATTTCCTTTTGTTAATATTTTCATGTTTGTTGAATTAAATTTCAACTAAATAAAAAACTTCTTCAGTGGTTTAGTCCATTGACTGTGGCAGAGCAATGTTGAGCTCCACATTTAAAACCTGAATATAACAAGAAGAATCTACACTGAATAATTCACTCTGAACCTCTTAAACTCTTCATTTAATCTCATAATAACATGATTTTTAATTTTCTCGCATTATGATGAATATAATAAATAAATAGTCAATATTTTAACTATCAGACAATAACCAATATATTTAATATTTGTTTTTTCCAACATTTTTATGAATCCATATGATGCTTCTAAACTTAGTTTGTTTATTCTTTATTCAGTTTGGATGACTGCAGGTTGTCAGAGATCAGCTGTGATTATCTGGTCTCAGCTCTGAAGTCCAACCCCTCCCATCTGAGAGTGCTGTGGCTGAGTGACAACAAGCTGCAGGATTCAGGAGTGAAGCTGCTGTGTGGTTTTCTGGAGAGTCCACACTGTAGACTGGAGGCTCTGAGGTCAGACACCATTTTTTCCTTCTGTGCTGAGATTAATATGATGTGAAAGTTGTGCTGACAGTAAAGTGCAGACATAAGGCTGATATTATACTGATCCACACTGAATATCTGGATAAGTCACTGTTAACCTCTTAAACTCTTGATTTTTATTTTATATTCAACATCATGTTTTTATTTTTTTCACATTATAAAAAAAATCAACTAAATAAATAAGATATTTTTAAACTATCAGACAATAACAAATATATTCAATATTGGCTTTTCCCCAACATTTTTATGAAGCTATATGTGGCCTGCTCAAGAATGATGAGACCGAACACAAATAAAATTATTTTTGTGTAACAGTAACCAGGCTCAAACTCATAACACTCAACTTCATTATACTGAACTTCAGTCATTAGCTAATTCTAGACAACAGTAGTGGCACCTCTCTAAATAAAGGATATAAAAGCATTTGTTAAGCCACACAACTCATAGTCACTTCAAAATAAAATACTTCAATTCAATGGGAAACATAAAAATACATTCTTATATATTTATACAAAATATTCTCTTACAAACATTCTTACAATTCAGAAACAACTTTCATAGAAATGTATAATGAACTCTCTTTCCCTCCAGTGTGCAGCCTGTGCTCTAAGACACACACACCTGGAACTCAACCTGCATATATCTCCCCTCTACATTAGGCAGAAAACATACAAATGGACATTATTTAAACAGTCAGCATACATTGTAATGAGATCATTCTGTTTATACATGTGCTTTATCATTACTCACACTAACCCTGCTGTTCAGTGTGGTGGACATATTTACACAAACTCATTTAAAGATCTACAGAAATCATCAGAAATACAAAATCATCATTAATCAACATTAAGTCTGCTAACTTAATCATTATCTCATCTGCTGACACTGATAACCATTTCCATATTTTACCGATATTTATAGGGATATTTATCTTACACATAAACAAAAAAACACACCACAGCAGTCAGTCACCTCCTGGTAGCTACTGCCACTTCTTGTTTCTGGTGTCTGTTCCAGCGATTTGCCTTTTGCCTACTCTTAACATAACAATGCCCCCTTGAGGGAAAAAGAACAATACTGCAGTACTAATCCCACAAGCAAACTACAAAACACTTTAAGGAGCCCAAAACCCCTGTATAACCCTTGTTCACCTGGCTACATATATGATGCTTTTAAACTTACATCTTTTATTCTTTATTCAGCTTGATTAACTGCAGGTTGTCAGAGATCAGCTGTGATTATCTGGTCTCAGCTCTGAAGTCCAACCCCTCCCATCTGAGAGTGCTGTGGTTGGATAACAACAAGCTTCAGGATTCAGGAGTGAAGCTGCTGTGTGGTTTTCTGGAGAGTCCACACTGTAGACTGGAGACTCTGGGGTCAGACACCATTTTTTCCTTCTGTGCTGAGATTAATATTGTAGCCCACCTATCCCTATTTTAGTCAGAGAAGGGCTCTGAGGTCTTTTAATCAATTTACTGAATTTATAACAAAGAATACTTTAAGCTCCACATTTAAAACCTGAATATAACAAGAAGAATCTACACTGAATAATTCACTCTGAACCTCTTAAACTCTTGATTTAATCTTATAATAACATTATGATGAATATAATAAATAAATAAATAATCAATATTTTAACTATCAGACAATAACAAATATATTTCAGTATTTGTTTTTTCCAATAGTTTTATGAATCCATATGATGCTTCTAAACTTACATCTTTTATTCTTTATTCAGATTGAGTCACTGCAGGTTGTCAGAGATCAGCTGTGATTATCTGGTCTCAGCTCTGAAGTCCAACCCCTCCCATCTGAGAGTGCTGAACCTGGATAACAACAAGCTGCAGGATTCAGGAGTGAAGCTGCTGTCTGATCTTGTGGAGAGTCCACACTGTAGACTGGAGACTCTGAGGTCAGTAGAGGGTTGGAGTCAGTCCATGCTGGTTTCAGCAGTATTGTATTAAACACAGTTAGTATCAAAGTGTAGCACCCCAACACTCAGTAAATGCCTAAGTTAAAGGAACTCACCTTGGACTTGAATGATGGGGTGTTTGGGTTCCATTTATTAAAGGAAGCTACCACAAAGGTTTATCTGTTTGTGTGGAACTTTTTATAGCCTAATACTTTATGAATAACCAACAACACTGTTAGACTAAGCAGTGGCTTTATTCACACGTACTCTACACTATTTTAAATAACTGACCCAGACAACTCTTTCAAATGAAGGAAATAATAGTTTACTAACCAGTTGTTTTCCAGTTTAACACAAATAATATTTACTTTGTTAGTTAACAAATAAACAAAAATGAAATAACACAATTACTCAAATTATACTTTAAAATAAAAATATTATAGTTGAAATACTAAATTGTAAATAAAATACCCTTTACCAAAATTAACAAAACACTGTAGAAAATCAGACACTTATAATAACAAAGTAGAATTGGCAATATCAAAATACTATTCAAAACTTAAATTATCTCAGGTCTCTAAAAGTCCTAGTTCTTACCATTAATATGATTTCTCTGTACTCATCAGACTCAGATCAACTCTAAACAAAACAGTGGGCACACACACACACACACACACACACACACACACACACACACACACACACACACACACACACACACAGTTGCAGCCTGTGTGTTGCTCGTTGCAGCAGGCAAATCTTTATCCTCAGTGGCAATTAACAGTCACACAGAAAATCCAACTCACGGTCTGGAATAAGTCCTGGAGAAACAGCTCATGAAGAGATGAAGATGAAAGCAAAGTCCTCCTCAGGAAGCAGCTCGCTGGCTTTATCTTAGTTAGCACAGTCACTCTGGCAAAACTCGAGCGCCCTAATCCACTGTGATTAGACAGGAAATGCACGTTACTGTCCTCAGCTCCAGCTTCTTATGTTACTGAAACATTCAGCAAGTTATTTACCAAAACGTCATTATTTCTAAACTTTACTTTAGCTCCACATTTCTCTCTTTTCTCTTCTCTCCTTCTCGTCGATTCTCCCCTCTCTCTCCTGTTGTTCCTTTTTAGCTCACTCCCTTACCTACGGTCAATTACCAACAGGTGACACCGAGTGACGTATACAACAACCAATCAAATGAAACAGCATGAACCAATGACACAGATCTGAATATTCAGTTTGGTTTAACACACTTTTCTTCAGCTACTATATAGAACAGTTTAATGTAACTACTTAATGAACTATTTACACTCTACTTTATTTATTATGGATTTATGTTCATCTCTCGGTTAACATTTCATCTTTCACTGCTCTTAACCTAAATTACTTTCAGTTTATTTGCATTACTGAATTATTTAAGTAATTAATTGAAATAATTATTTGGATTACAAATTAACTTGTTTTAACCCCTGTACTGTTACACCGGGCTACAAAAGCAAAGATCCAATATTATCCTCAGTGAAGCTGTGAGAGGAGGATGGTGACAGACTTCAGGGTTGGACAGAAAGACAGAGAGAGACTGTAAACACTGATTATTGACTTCTGTTGTCTGTCTTCTTCTCTCATCAGCTGGAAGTGATCTCAGTCAGAGTGTGAGTGGTGAGGAAGGAGGTTGTGTTGGAGGATCAGCTGTGTCCTGATGATCCAGAGAGGTTGAAGCAGCAGCATCAGCTCTGACTGGGCCATGTTACTGGGAGGTAGAGTGGAGAGGAGAGCTTCATCCAGCAGTGACTGACTGAGGAATCACAACCAGTGGAGATGACTCTCAGTGCTGCAGTCTGAACTGCTCTGAGATCAGCTCCACTGTCAGACACAATGTCAAGTCCACCATCATCCCTGTGTGTTCCTCTGGATGTGACAGAGTATCATCAGTGTATCTGGACTGCTCTGCTGCTGCTCTGTCCTTCTACACAGTCTCTGCAGACACACTGAGACTCCTCCACTCCTTCTGCTCCACACTCAACCACCTCCTCCACCTGGAACCTCCACCTGGATTTTATTCTTTCATTCATTCACATATTCTGATCCCAAACTGCCTCTACACATTCATTCTGTTTATGACAACAGAACTGTAGATGAACACATTGAATTGGATATTTCAGTGTTGCTTTCTGTTGCAGCTCCACCCTGTGTAACGATGGAGTAGTGCAGTTAATTTCCACATATTTCTGAACAACAGTGGAAGTTGATATTGCATGTGTGAAGTTCTGGTTATTCCCACCAATACCAGCCGTTTCTCATATTATAATCAATGAAGTAGATAAAACCTGAACAAAGTCTGGATTCAATCAAGGCTTTACTGAAGTTTCTCAACTGACTACAAACAGATTCTGTCTGGATTTTGGTGGAAAGTCAGTGCTTTAATATTTCATTTTGTATATAATGTTTGATGGAAAAAAAAATCAGAAGTGTTTAATATGCAGATTCTAGACTTTATATTAATTAATCATGTCTATAAAACAAATAATGCTATCTTGATTTTTGCTGTCAAACTAATAAATCATGTTTTTTAGTCCAAATGAAGTTCAGTTTCTTACAGTTTTATGTGTGACTCTGGTAGTTTTCACATTACAGACACATAAAGTCAACCTGTGGAGCTTTTTCCCACAGAAATCAATGTTGAAGCAGTTGTTATCACCAGTGTTCATGTTCTGTAGCTCCTGCTGGAGCTGCTTTCTGCCAGCAGATGTCACCATTTCCACTGTTTTCCTCAGACTGGTTTATCTGAATGGATGCAATATCTGTGTGCAGTGAAAACTGAACTGGTGATGTGAATACTTTCTTTCTGACTGACTTCATTTAGTTCAACTTGATTTAAACTGATAAAACTAGATTTGAAATTAAAGCCAGCACACAAGATCAAATAAAACCCTGATTTCATAAACTGAATTACCGTAATAAATGATGGTTAATGACCATGAAAGGAAGAAAATGTTGATTTCACTGATGTGATTCAGTTTTTTTTATATCGTTGCAACACAATGCTTCACTCTTGTCAAATATTCTTCTCATATGAGTCAAAAAACCCACAACTATTATTCAATAGCACAGTCACATATTGAGCTGGTAATGGTTTTTATTAATGCTGTAAATTCTCAGCTCTGCTTTGCTTCAAATTAAAAAACACTGTTCTACATGCAGACAAAGAGGACCATGATTCAAATCAGATTTTAAACCTTTATTGGCTCACAGCAGAGGGCAGAAGCTTTGTGAAACTTCCTAAAAGACAAACACACTTAAAATGTGTCATAAAAACAGAACAAGGTTGTGATGCACAGTTACAGTTTGAATCCCACTGGGACCAGCACCAAAAACACATTCACAGGATCATGAATAAAGTCTATCAATGTGATTATGACTGTATTTATTCTGTATTAGAAACCTCTTTCAGGACAGCGTTTTGTTTTCAGGAACATTTTGGTAAATATTGTCATTTTCCAGGACTTTCCCAGGTTTTCCAGGATGCATGGGAACCTTAAGAAATCACCATCATAACCTTAGTATTTCAGCATTCTTAACTAATGCTCTGCTCTCACATTTAGCCTTGAAGACTGCTTCTTAAATATTAACCAATGTTCCTACAACGTGACCAAAGAACTGTCAGTGGGCTCAGATGACTGATGGACTCATAAACACAAACAATATGTACATCCAGGTATATAACGGTGAATATACACATCTATGATACAAACATAAAGTATTAGAATGCAAACGGCATGAGAACAATACAGAGAAAAGAGAAAACACTGAGACGTACAACAATTCTTTCTGCTGGAGTTCAAAAATATATGAACTAAACTGTTTCTAACAATATTTAACAGTAAAACGGAAAATGTGTTTTCTGTTGACTGAGACTGACTTTAATCAATATTTATATGCCATTGATCTCATTGTAATATAACAAATATGAACTAATGTATGACAGTTCTCTTGTAGATATGGACGTTCTGTATAAAAGTAGAATTTAATGTCTAAATAAATAAATGTGCTAGCTGTAAGTGAGTGTCCCCCTCACTCTCTGAGGGTGTTCAGCAGTATCGGGTTGTAGTGTCTCTTTCTTTTAGGGTCTAACTGATCGATGTTAGTGATCAGCTGCTCTTTATTAGGGTTTAACTGATCGATGTTAGTGATCAGCTGCTCTTTATTAGGGTTTAACTGATCGATGTTAGTGATCAGCTGCTCTTTATTAGGGTCTAACTGATCGATGTTAGTGATCAGCTGCTCTTTATTAGGGTCTAACTGATCGATGTTAGTGATCAGCTGCTCTTTATTAGGGTCTAACTGATCGATGTTAGTGATCAGCTGCTCTTTAATGGTCAAACTTTACCCGCCGGCTAACACTGACGTGTCCTTACTGTTAGCCGGGGAGCTAACGTGCTAACTGTCAGTCTGCAGCGGGAAACAGAAACTCAACTCAGACTAATTATAATGGAGTTCAAACCCCTCATGTTACTGTATATAATAATAATAATAATAATAATAATAATGGTGATTAATAAATTACCCATATTCCAAAAAAAAGACAATATTCCTACTAAGCTGTTTACAATGCAGCTGTGTATAGTCGGATCAACCCAACTGTTAATGACGTAAACTGGAAACTGTTACTGACACATATCCAAAAAAACATCTTTCATGATGTTTAAAAGTAGATGTGTTTCTCCTTCCAGCCTCAGACTGTTGGTTTGTTTAACGACACACAGAGCCCAACTTAAACCGACAAACTGCCACAAATAATGCTGCTAAAACCCGAATAATATCCACATATCCCGCATGTAAACGCACTCGCTGTGTACTGTCATTTTAAGGAAGGTTGTGTTTTAACAATGTGCCTCGTTTCCCGCCCATCAGGGCCCGAGGTGAGCGCTCAGGATCTGACTGAGGATGAGGAGGCCGAGGCTGTGGATGAAGACGTGGTGGACGACGTGACGGCAGAGGACGAGGACGACGAGGCGGAAGTAGAAGACGACGAGAACGCGGAACTGGTGAGTGGTTACATCGGGGTTAAAAATGATCAATACAGTAATAAACAGTGATGCTATCTCTATCAACACATTATTGATCCATCAAGTTATATTCTAGAGGAAAAGGAAGCTGCTGACCTCAACAATCAGCTTTACTCTAATTTAATTGGAAGTACATTGACATTAATGAGTGGCAGCTGAATGAAAATGGTCTTCTATACAGCCCTAAGATATAAAGGGAAATAAACCTGTGTGTGTGTGTGTGTGTGTGTGTGTGTAGACGGAAGAAAAAGAAGATGAAGAGGAAGAAGCGTTGGTCGGAGAGGTGAAGGCTTCCCCGAACGCCGACACCACCATCCTGTTTGTGAAAGGAGAAGGTAACTTCCTCTAAAGGTTTCTGCCCTCGTCGACAGCTCAGACCTTCTGTAGTGAAAACTGTTTGATCGACCGTCTTGTTTCTCTCCAGACTTTCCCGCCAACAACATCGTCAAGTTCCTGCTCGGCTTCTCCAACAAGGGGTCCGAGAACTTCGTCGTGGAGTCTCTGGACGCCTCTTTCCGTTACCCACAGGTACATAAACGCACACTGCGCCTCCCTCCTGGAGCACAACGACTCCCCCGGGTCGAGTGTGTCTCTGTGCAGCTCTCTCTCTCTCTCTCTCTCTCGCTCTGACTCGTGTCTGTTGCTCCCCGTCAGGATTACCAGTTCTACATCCAGAACTTCACCGCTCTCCAGCTCGGCATCGTGGTTCCCTCCGGCAGACAGGCCACCTTTGAGTACTCCTTCATCCCCGCGGAGCCAATGGGAGGGCGGCCATTCGGACTCGTCATCAACCTCAACTACAAGGACGGCAATGTAAGGAGGCTGAAGACGACTCCTCTATCGGGGTCAAAACTCTCCTGTGTCTTATGGAAAAATACTAGTTTCTACTAAAGTTGAGCAAATATTGGTGTTAGAGTACTTCATAATTATAAAATAGTGACCTTACTGCTGCTGTTGTTGTTGTTGTTGTTGTTGTTGTTGTTGTTGTTGTAGTAGTAGTAAGAGATGAGTTGGAAGCAGACGACTTTCTGGCTCCTTTAAAATTGTTACTAACATAGAAATAAACCTCCTGAGTCTGCAGAGGGATTGTTGTTCAGATGGACCTGATGATAAAGAGGTCAGAGTTCACCCAGTGATTAAAAAGGGAGAGTAATCTCTATCTTTCTTTTTTTTTATCTCGCCACTTTCTTCAACGGCGTCTGACCTTTGATCTTTCTCCTCATATCTGCTTTTTCTTCTCTCTCGTCTTTCCCTTATTCTTACCTTTCTCTCTGGTTCTTGACCTTCTCTTATCTTTGTTTCTCTCTCTCTCTCTCTCTCTCTCTCTCTCTCTCTCTCTCTCTGTTCTTCCTTTCTCTTCCTGTCTGCAGGGAAACATTTTCCAGGATGCCGTGTTCAACCAGACGGTCACTATCACTGAGAGAGAGGATGGACTGGACGGAGAGACGTGAGTGGATTTAACTTGTTTATTGTCAGTGCTACATCGATTTATTTGCTCCCCTATCCTCGTCTTCATCCCTCTTTTTTTATTCTCTTGAATCTTCACTCCTCCGTCTTCTCTCCCAGGATCTTCATGTACGTCTTCCTGTCAGGCCTCGGGCTGCTGGTCGTCGTAGGCCTTCACCAGCTGATGGAGTCCAGAAAGGTACAGACACTTACAGCAAACACACACTCAACTCAACACAACTCCCAGTCGGGCTTGAACCTTTACCTGTAAACTGTTGAGTAGGATGAAACAGGACATATGAAGACGACACTTTCAACTCTTGAACTTGTTGTTGCTGTAGACTCACAGATAACTGATAGTGGTTAAAATATTATATATATTAGTTGCAGCGTTAAAACTAAATGTAAAGTTTAGATGACCGAAATCGAGTTGACATGGCAGGTCTCTAACTGTGTGTGTGTGTGTGTGTGTGTGTGTGTGTGTGTGTGTGTGTGTGTGTGTGTGTGTGTGTGTGTGTGTGCAGAGGAGGCGTCCAGCTCCAAAGGTGGAAATGGGAACTTCGAGCCACAATGACGTGGACCTGAGCTGGATCCCTCAGGAAACACTGAACCAGATCAGTACGTATGCGTCACGTCCGGCACTCGCACTCCCCGAAACTCGTCCCGCCAGCTCCAGCTTCTGCTTCCTGCCCCTCCATTCCTTACAGACCACACCCACACCACGAACTCCACCTCTGTGCAACGTTTCAGACGGCTGGTTGCACCTCACTGTGATTAACATTCAGACACTTAAAACCTGCCTGGAATAGTCTTAAAGGGTTAGCTGGATCCTTCTAGCTGGTAGGGCTGGATGTTGACCCACAATACATTTCACTAACTGCACAATTGTCTTCATCAAGATTGTTTGACTTCTTCAGATCAGATACTCGCAGTCCAGACTATTTAGGAAAAGTTCTTCCATTTTAAACTGATGCACTCACATGTAAATCATCATCAGCAGCCAAAAAGCATCACAAAGAAAACTGTCAGGAAATGAAAATAAGTAACCAGAATATCAAACAATAAGAACTTTACAATAAGTTTAGTTAACACTGAATTTAAAACAGAGATAACAGAAACTACAGGCTGCTCTAAAAGCTTCAGTAATGGTCAGTGTGTTTGAGCTTTAACCAGAAACAGAATGAGGAGTAAACTACTTACTGGTTGAAAGCTTCAGTGATGAGACAACTGAGAACCACAAGAGGTCGACGTTGAGTCCACACACTGAAAGCTTCACACACTCCTCGCTGTTTCTCCGCTCAGTCAGCTGATGTGTTTGTGCAGGTGTCTCTGTTCTCTTCCTGCTTCACCTGTTCCTGAATCAACTTTAACCTTCACTGTGCACGAGGATCACTCACTCTCTTCTCTTTCTCTCTCTGCCTCCCTCGCTGTCATGTTTCCCTCCGTCTTCAGTGCAGAGTCGCAGAGGTGAGGTCTGCTTTGTGTGTGTGTGTGTGTGTGTGTGTGTGTGTGTGTGTGTGTGTGTGTGAGGGCTCTTTGTTTATTCAAACCTAAATGCAGTGCTGATGTTGGACTGAGTGTGAAATCTTTTACTTTTACAAATTAGATCCGTCTCCTGAATGGTGCAGATGTTCTGAGCTATTAAACTATTTTTCAGCAGGTTTCCATCCCACCGAATACCAATAATAATAATAATAATAATAATAATAATAATAATCAGTTATCTGTCCCATAATAACGCCATATGTTATAACATGGCGCAGTTAGATGTTCAGATATTTGTTCTCCTGCGCAGTGTGTGGACACGTCCTTCAGAGGAAGAATTAAAATGACTAATGATTAAATTGGCAAAATGAAATGATAAAAATGTTTGAATCTTCCACAGAATAAACAACCAGCTGTTATATTTGTATACTCGCCCAACCCTAATCTCTTCTTACATCAGTGTAACAGTAACTCATTCAGCCTGATTCAGGACTGTGTGTTGAGTCTCTCCCTCCGTCCTCTCTGTGTTCTACCTTCAGCTTTCTTATGGCCCAGTCTCACCAGGAGGTGTCTCAGTGAAATGATCTGCATGTGTTTGTGAAATAATCTGTGTTCCTGTGGACAGCGTTTCTTCTGCCGAGCTTCAGTGGAGACAACTATTGTATTCAAAAGAACACAGTTGAGAAATTGTGAATGTTTCCTCTGTTTTAGCCTAAATTGAAGACCTAAAGTGTGAACACGAGAGCTTCGGCTTCATCTCAGAGTTTTTACTTTGTTTAAAATCCACCACTCACACTCAGTATCTCTCCCTCTGCAGACAAAGCGTCTCCAAAAAGATCTCCTCGCAAAAGGAGTCAGAAACGCTCGGCTGGCTCAGACGAGTGACCGGCGCCTGACATCACGGCGACAGAACTTCCCCCACCCGTCGGAGGAAGAGGAGGAGGAGGAGGAGGAGGGCTGTGAGCCCCACGCCGAGCACACTCTGCTCTCTCTACTGAGGAACTTTAACCAGTGCCAAGCACAGCGATGGCTGGCTCTCTACTTTCAGCTTACAAACTGTTGAAAACACACACACACACACACACACACACACACACACACACACACACACACAGCCCGTTTTGTTTTACGATCACAGGTTTCTGAAGCAGGAATCCTGAAACAGGTGTGTTGGGTTTAAAAGGCACGCGAGGACATTTTTCTATTGCGGTTGTTGGTTTTCTTTTAGAGTCTATTTGTTAGTGGAATAACTGCTGTTGTGAGACAGTTTTGATTGTTTTGTTGTTTATTACCTCCCACTGTGGCGAAGGGCTGTAACCGATAGCGGATCAATCAGTTAGTCGACAGTCCGAACATCGCCGGTTCCAACTCCTCAAATGTCATTTTGTATTTGTCTGATGTGAAAGTGAACGTTCAGACCGAATAAACCATCTGAAGACGCCATCTTTGGGCTCTTGGAACTTGTGATGGACATTTGTCACTTTGTTTTCTACATTTTAGATCAAATGATTAATAAACAAGTATTTTGCAGATGACTTGATAATGGAAATAAATCATTAGTTGCAGCCCTGCTCTGGTGGAGCCACGATAACGGTAACAAATGCAGTTTTTATTTTCAATGTAGTTTCGAGTTTTGGATTTTGTAGAGTGTCTCCTGTCAGCTGTCCTGCTCCTCCTTCACTCATTTCACTGCACACATCCTGAGGAGAGTCTGAGACACACTCGCACTCAGAGAGTCTGCGAGGACTCGGTGCCGTCCTCCGGTTCAGATGGAGCAGAGTCGAGACCTCTTACAAACTTTTTGAGGCCTTTGTAGACGATCCTGCAGACGAAGAACAGTTCAGTTATTTAATTCATGTGAGATCTGTTGCTGAACACTTAAAGAGTTAAAAATTCTCTTATTCCAACTTCTCAAAGGTGAATATTTGCTGCTTTTCTTCGTCGTAGGAAAATCACATTAGCAGATCAAATGCATTGAACCCACCTGTAGGCGTCGTCATCAGATCTGTGGACAGGAAATGAGTGAAGAGAAGTCAGAGTGGTGTCGGATGTAAAACCGCCCTTTAACCCCGACACCCTACGTTTAAACCCCAGTGCTCACAGGTTCTGGGGGGTCGAGGGGTCGAATGTTAGCCAACAGGCTGGATTATCATGAACAAGCTCACAGCAGCGATCTCCAAACCCTCAACGTGTGCCTGTTTTCTACTTTTCTGTTTGTAGGTTCGTTTACTTCTGGCTCCTCTCCGCAAACTTGTTTTCAAAATCAGAAAAATAATTTACCAAATAGTGAATCTGAGTCTTTTGTTGTTGTTTTCTTTTGTTTTTCTTTGGATTGTAAAAATGTTGAACTGGCTGAAGCACTGGTGTAAATACTGGCTGATGGATGATGAACTGAGAGCGACATTACCAAGCTAATTTATTTGAATGACAGATTGGGGCTTTAACAGGGGATTTTGTGCACTGGTTTTTATTATTATTCTACCACTAGGGGGCGACACTGACTCACTCTGCAGGTCTTCCAGTTCCTGTACTTCTGTGAGTAACTGGCCTCAGAGTTTGGATGTGAACTGTTAATTTACTGCAGACACACAACAAACAGCAGGAACAGGAAGCACATGGTCCAGATACACAGCTGAGGCTGGTTGGTACCACTCCAACATCCACAGAGAACTGAGCTCCAGGTTTTTGTTTCTTTTTCTAAAATGATGGGGCTGTCATTCATGGGTAGAAGCTCATACTTTTATCTGCTTTTAAATGTGCAGGAAATAAACTTTGATGATTTACTGTAGGTCTGGTGTTTTGTTTATATGTGTGTGATACAGTGTTATATAAAAGATATTTCAGTTAAGAAAATATGCATGTAGATTATTATTGATTTATTGTTACTGATTAAAACTGCCCAACACTGAAAACTAGCTTATATTAGCCTAATTTAATAAATTATTTAAACAATAATGCAGTCATTCTGCTGCCCAATGAGTTCTTTAACTTCTGATACTTTAAAGGTCAGTGTGTAACATTTAGGAGGATCTGTTGGCAGAAATTAAATAAAATCTTCCTAAGAATGTTTTCATGAGTGTATAATCGCCTAAAAATAAAGTTGTGTTTTCGTTACCTTAGAATGAGCCGTTGGTATCTACAGACAGCACGGGTCACATAGAGTCTGCCTTGATGAACCTTCATGTTCCTACAGTAGCCCAGAACGGACAAACCAAACAGCCACAGTAGTTTCTCCTACACAGCTTGTTCTCATTCCCAGGTCGTCAAATGCAGACGCGAGCAGTGTTCAGTTTGGTACTCTACCACTAGATTACACAAAATCCTACACACTGTACCTTTAAATACATTCTGCTGCTAATACTTCTACTTAGGGGATCTTTTAAACAAGACTTTCACTTGTAGTGGAGTAATTTAGGTATGGTTACTGCTACTCTTTTTGACCGGCGTGAGCTGTGTTTAACCCAAAATGGTCCCTCATACAAGTGTAATAAAAATGTCATATATAAATATTTATTTTCATTTTCACCACTTCAGACCTAACCATAGATATAGAGTTTTTATTATTATTTTGTATGTTTTTATACCCTTTTGTCATAAAAACACCTGATTTTCTCAATGGGAAAAACACAAAATATAATTATTTTCAAAAAATGAGGTGCAAAGTGGAATATTTAGGATGAGGTTATAAGAGCCTTGACTAGGTCAATAATTTATAACATTGATTTGGATGCATTATTATTTTTGGAGCAATGATAGTTTATTCCCCAAAATTTACAAGTTTGAACCTAGGGACCCAAAATGGTAATAAAAGTGTCATAAAAATGTCATATATTAATATTTGTTTTCACTTTCACCGCATCAACTCTTTTCAACAACTTCAGACCTAACCAAAGATATAAAGATTTTACAATTATTTAAATATTTTTTATGTTTTTTTATGTAACGGTACCGACGTGATGATGAAGAAACCTGGATTTAAACAAGTACACGCACACGATTTCCAGTTAATAATTAAAGGAGGAACAACGACCACGTGGTACAGATACTGAACATAAAACATAAAAGACGATAAAACAATAAAACAGTTTGTGTTCAGTCAGTCAGGGTTCAGACTTCATTTTGAGTCGACAGAGCAGACGGAGAGACAGGAAGTCTGAGTCAGGGTGAGTGTTAATACAACATTATTATTGTTTTACTGTCAAAGTCTCTGATTCATCTGTGAATACAGTGTGATTGGATGAATAATGAACAACAGACTTAATGCTAACTCACAAAAACAAGCTTACATTCAAAGAAGAGTCAATATACTGTGTGTGTGTGTGTGTGTGTGTGTGTGTGTGTGAGACACTTGAACAGACTTGTTGATCAGGATTCTTGTGTTCTGAGCTCACAGTCAGTGTTACTGGTTCTCTCTCAGACTGACTGAAGTCCAGAAGATCAGTGATCAGTGACAGTGGTTTTCTTTTACAGATTGAATCTTACAGTTCATATTTTTCTCTGCCACTTCAGGTACACCTGGAAAAATAATACAGCTCAGTAAAACGTTATCACTAAGTACAGTTTACCAAAGGTCTGTTTTATGGACTTTTATTAAACTGTACACACAGTCAAGATATTGTGTTATAACCCTGTAGATACAATAAATGTTGGTCCAAAGATCAGGATCACTGTTAGATATTAACTTCATCTCCATTTTACAGTCTCCTCCTCTGCATCTTGTTTCACTTGTTTGTCTTTTTCGTCTTCATGTTGTACGACTTGCATGAACTACATATTTGTCTCAACGCTGTCTGAAGTGCAGAAGATGAGTGACTGTGTGGAGGAAGAGAAGGACAGAGCAGAGTCTCCAATGTCCAGCTGTCTGTCTATGAAGAGTGATCGGTCTAGAGAATATCCTCCATTATTCAGTAATGAACCTGAACCCTTAGACACACAGTAAGAGAACTACCAGTTACTGTTTAACCAACAAACTATCAGTAACAGCAATGTGTGTATAGAGAACTGTGTATTTTTGATAATTTCACACTGATTCACATGAAATGAATAAAAACATCTTGTTGTTTCCAGAAGTCAGTACCACCAACAGAGAGCAGAGTCTCCAATGTCCAGCTGTCTGTCTATGAAGAGTGATTGGTCTAGAGAATATCCTCCAGACTTCAGTAATGAACCTGAACCCTCAGACACACAGTAAGAGAACTGCTACTAACTTCAGTTTCTATCATTATATTATCACCATTATATGATTGTATTTGTCCAAATATAAGACAATATTTATTTCTAGAAATGACATTTGAAACAGTGGGGTTGTATTATACTCGAGGACTAGACAATCACATATTAACACCATCAGATATTCTTTTTAAATGGACCGGTGTGACAGTGGCTCCTACACAGAGTGATGCATTATGGGTTGTTTGTAGCCTTAATGTTGTTGGCTAGCGAGTTACTTCAAGTTCAAGTATTTCATCTTTTATTTTTACAAAGGAAAAGGCTCCATTGATGAGGACTATCTTTTAGATCAACAGTATCTCTGAGAAAGTTTCCCAACATCAGCAGTCTGAAATTGTTTCTGATCTTCAAAAAGCCTTTTTCCAAACACAGCTGTTGGAAAAGAGAGAGGCATCTTGTGATAAGTGTTGTCTGATATTCTGGCCAATATGGTAGAAGAGATTTTCTAACCTGCTAATGACGTTCTGTTCTGTGCTCCTCTTTGTTTGTTTGTTTGTTTTTCTATTAAGATTTTCCATTAAAATAAGTTTGTAGACTAAAATATAAGAATGCAAACTGCCCCACTGTGACTCAGTTAAACATCTTTATCAATAAAAGCAGAATGAAAATAACAGTTTGATCTCTTCAGGCTGCAGCTGCTGTCACATAATTTGGAGCAGATTGTTGTCTGATCAAGAAGACAATATCTCAGATATTGTGATTCATTAAAAGCTCAACTCAGCTTTTTTACACTGAAATATAACTATGATTTCTGATCTGAGTGATTTTACTTTATCTCCCCAGAAAGAAGAAGAGGAGTCATGTTTCTGTGGAGGAGCAGCTGTCCTGCTGTGTTTTGTGTCAGGACGTCCTGAAGGATCCAGTCTCTACCAGCTGTGGACACTGGTTCTGCAGACAGTGCATCACCTCATACTGGGACAAGTCTGCTTCATCAGGAGACTCCTCCTGTCCCCAGTGTGGAGAAAGATCCAGAACAAGAGCTGGACTGCAGACAGCCAGTCAGACCAGCACTGTACAAAGTAAGACTGTACATCTGTCTGCTGATGTCCTCATGTCTGAAAACAGGACTTTATAATCTATTACAGGGACATTTGTTGTTATGCAGTGAATTTAATATTATCATGAATATCATAAATTGAAAAACATTTTTATTGATCCCGATTCTGGTTCTCAGTTTAGTCTCAGAATATGTTTCTTCTCTTCCAGCAGATGGTGGTTTGCAGGAGGTTTTAGATGAACATAAGATCAGTCTGAAGACGAGATGTAAACATGTGACTGAAGGAACTGATGAAACAGGAAGTGGAATCCTCCTCAACAGGATCTACACTGAGCTCTACATCACAGAGGGACAGAGTGAAGAGGTTAATACCCAACATGAGGTGAGGCAGCTTGAGACAGCTTCCAAGATGGAGACCCTCCATGACACTCCAATTAAGTGCCACAACATCTTTAAAGCCTTCCCTGACCAACAGAGACACATCAGAGTGGTTCTGACGAACGGCGTCGCTGGCGTTGGAAAAACCTTCTCAGTGCAGAAGTTCACTCTGGACTGGGCCGAGGACTTGGAAAACCTAGATGTCAGTCTGGTGGTTCTGCTTTCGTTCAGGGAGCTGAACCTGATCAAAGATGAGCAGTACAGTCTTCTCACACTGCTCCATGTTTTCCATCCAACATTACAGAAGGTCACAGCAGAGAAGCTCACTGTCTGTAAATTTTTGTTCATCTTTGACGGCCTGGATGAAAGCAGACTTTCACTGGATTTCCACAACAAGGAGGTTGTGTCTGACGTCACACAGAAGTCCTCAGTCAACCTGTTGTTGACAAACCTCATCAAGGGGAATCTGCTTCCCTCGGCTCTCGTCTGGATAACTTCCAGACCTGCAGCAGCCAATCAGATCCCTCCTGAATGTGTTGACAGGGTAACAGAAGTACGAGGCTTCACTGATGCCCAGAAGGAGGAGTACTTCAGGAGGAGAGTCAGTGATGAAGATCTGTCCAGCAGAATCATCTCACACATCAAGACCTCCAGGAGCCTCCACATCATGTGTCTAATCCCAGTCTTCTGCTGGATCACTGCTACAGTTCTGGACCACATGTTAACTACAGACCAGAGAGGACAGCTGCCCAAGACCCTGACTGACATGTACTCAAAATTCCTGCTGGTTCAGACAAAGAGGAAGAAGCAAAAGTATGATGAGGGACATGAGAAGAGTCCACAGGAGCTGATGAAGGCTGACAGGGAAGTTCTTCTGAAGCTGGGGAGGCTGGCGTTTGAACAGTTGAAGCAAGGAAACATCATGTTCTACCAAGAAGACCTGGAGCAGTGTGGTCTTGATGTCACAGAGGCCTCGGTGTACTCAGGAGTTTGTACAGAGATCTTCAAAAGAGAGAGTGTGATCTTCCAGAAAACAGTCTACTGCTTTGTTCATCTGAGCATTCAGGATTTTCTGGCTGCAGTCTACATGTTCCACTGTTACACCAACAGGAACACAAAGGTACTGGAGGACTTTCTCAAAGACTACAGCAGGGACACAAAACCAAAGACTCTTCTAGGGAAGATTTTTACTTTTTTTGGATACGATGATAGCCGTGACCATGATGGCGATCGTCATGGCAAATCCCTGGATGTTTTTCTAAAGAGCGCCATGGAGAAATCCATCAAAAGTAAAAATGGCCACCTGGACCTGTTTGTTCGCTTCCTTCATGGCCTCTCTCTGGAGTCCAACCAGAGACTCTTAGGAGGCTTGCTGGGTCAGACAAACAACAGTCCAGAAGTCATCCAGAGAGCCATCAACAACCTGAAGGAGATGAACAGAGGTTATATCTCTCCTGACAGAAGCATCAACATCTTCCACTGTCTGATGGAGATGAACGATAACTCAGTCCATCAGGAGATCCAAGAGTTCCTGAAGTCAGAGAACAGATCAGAGAAGAAACTCTCTGAGATCCACTGCTCAGCTCTGGCCTACATGCTGCAGATGTCAGAGGAGGTTCTGGATGAGTTGGACCTGAAGAAGTACAACACATCAGACCACGGAAGGCGGAGACTGATTCCAGCTGTGAGGAACTGCAGAAAGGCTGTGTAAGTGCAGATGTGATTAACATTACAAAGCAGTGTTTATCAGTCATGCTATACATTTTTTTAGAATTATTCTTAAAATATTCTTCCACTTAAAAATATATGTCAGTTGTATTTTGTCGCAGTTGTTCTTGAGCTGTTTCAGATCCTGTGAGTGCGAACATGTTGATTTTTCAGTTGGAGGTTTATAGCTGTCAAGTTAATTAACACAGTTATTCTATTAATTTCTAATAATTGAATAATTAATTAATTAATAATTACATTTTACTTACTGGACATGCAAACTCGGCAGAACAATAGGGAGTTTTTAGAGTTTAAAATAAGATCTGTATCATTTTCCAAAGGAGATTTCTAAAGTTCTAGACAATTTCTGTCATACAGTTATCATTTTGTTCGTAATTTATAGTGAGCATGGAGGATGTTTGGGGATGCCAGGACCACCTCTTATAGGAAAATGAAAAACCAAAAACCCAGCTGGATTTAAAGATCATACTTTACATTGCTCATGTTAGAGGCCTTAAGCACGAGTGAGCAGTGAACAGATATTGTGTTCTGTTGTGTCCAGGGAAAGCAGAGACTGGAGATGTAAGTTGTGATCTTTAGGCTGTTCTCTGTCTGAGCAGCAGAAGCCTCACAGAACCTGAATACAACTAGTGCTCACCAAGGTAGACACTGCCTCTTGTGGTGACACTGAGCAATTACACCTTCAACAATACAACTCAACCCCCTGTAACAATACATCCAAATCTGTCCTCTTCCACAGGTAAATACATAAAGTAACTGAACAGTTGTGACCATACATTTGTATGTGTCAAATTTACAGAACATGAGACATTTTCTCTGATTTAGCTTTAAAGGTTTAAAGGTCCAGTAATTAACATTTAGGAGACTCTGTTGGCAGAAATGGAATATAATATTCATTGGTATGTTTTCAGTAGTAGTTACGCCTTCATGTTTCTACGGTGGCCTAGAAGGGACAAACCAAACACTGGCACTTGATAGGGATGTTACTGTTTTGCACATTTCATGGCCACCGTAGTTTCTCCTATACACTTGGAAGTGGAGGGTGAAGCGGGTGAGTGCTGATCTGTAGTCTTGAGTTATGAGAGAGAGTTAGGAGAGTGATTGTTTCATGTCAAACACAGTGAGATAAGATTAGCTGAACCACTGATGTGAAAAGCAAATGTTCATCAAAACAGAAAATGTCAATCTGTTCAAATCCATAAAGTAAATATAAAGTGTGTCTTTCATAATAACATATTTTCTAATATGTGTCATTATAGACTTTCTCACTGTGGACTCTCAGAGACTCACTGGAAAGTTGTGGCCTCAGCTCTGAAGTCCAACCCCTCCCATCTGAGACATCTTGATTTGAGTTTCAACGAGCTGCAGGATTCAGGAGTGAAAACACTGTCTGCTGGACTGCAGAGTCCAAACTGTAGACTGGAGACTCTGAGGTCAGTTCACTGGCTGTAGTGCATGCAGTTTTGTGTCTTTCCAAATTACCCAACAGTTGGTACAGTAACAAAAATATAGAAATGAAATGTTTGACAGGAGAGTTTTTCAGCCTCCACAGACTCACATTGTGGTCCATCAGTCAGTGAAGATGATGTCAGTACTGATGAGGCTGTAGAGTGTGTGAGGGATATGAATGAGGTTGTTGAAGATCTGATGACGGCAGATAAAAACAGGCTGCAGAGAGTTTGAGCTTCAGTATAAACAGAGAGAGACGTGTAGCATATTTTAACTATACTTATAATAATAAGCAGCAGGTGATTAACTAAGGATGGAATATCAGAAGACTGGATTAGGGTTAGGAGGAATGATTTCACTGATCACAGTATTGAATGAAGACTCAGGAAACCAGATTCTGTTGTATTTTTTAAAGAAATGGAAAACAACAAATAAACCAGACACATTTTATAAATGAATTAGAAATGACATTTCTCCAAAATCCATCCTGACATATTTGACATCTTTGGAAACTTCAGGATCTTGATTGGAATCTTAAATCAGTTTCTGTGGGATTTTATTTGTGTTTGACTGCACAACATGAGTTTGTATAGATGGAGCCACTGGTGGAGCTGGCAGAGGTTAAGAGCTGAGGTCACTACGTTTTTATTGAAGCAGCAGCACGTTGTCATTAATATTAATGAGAGCTCCTTTCACCTTTTTGTATTTTACAGTTTTCAACCTCCTGTTGGGTTCAGGTGTTTGGAGTTTCCATTTTCTAAACTTGTACATTCTAAACCTTCTTCAGCTCTGAACAGCTTATTAAACACTGAGTGATTTCAAGCAGGAACATTGTCTTTTAAACATACATCTTTTATTCTCTATTCAGATTGTGGAACTGCAGTTTGCCAGAGATCAGCTGTGATTATCTGGTGTCAGCTCTGATGTCAAACCCCTCCCATCTGAGAGAGCTGGACCTGGGTAACAACAAGCTGCAGGATTCAGGAGTGAAGCTCTTGTGTGGTTTTCTGGAGAGTCCACACTGTAGACTGGAGACTCTGGGGTCAGAACCTATTTTTTACTTCTGTGCTGAGATTAATATGATGTGAAAGTTGTGGTGACAGTGAAGTGCAGACATAAGGCTGATATTATACTGAGTATCTTAAGGCTAAAGTCTGTTTTTTTCTTTAGTGGTTTAGTCCATTGACTGTGGCAGAGCAATGTTGAGCTCCACATTTAAAACCTGAATATAACAAGATGAATCTACACTGGATAATTTACTCGGAACCTCTTAAACTCTTGAATTTCATCTTATATTCCACATCATGTTTTTACATTACGAATAAATAAATAATCTCCATTTCAACTATCAGACAATAACAATATATTCAGTATTTGTTTTTTCCAACATTTTATGAAGCTATATGATGTTTATACTGACTGAATAGTTCATCTTAATGATTTCAAGCAAGAACATTGTCTTCTAAACTTACATCATTTATTCTTTCTTCAGATTGTGGGGCTGCAGTTTGTCAAAGATCAGCTGTGATTATCTGGTCTCAGCTCTGAAGTCCAACCCCTCCCATCTGAGAGAGCTGGAGCTGAGTTACAACAAGCTGCAGGATTCAGGAGTGAAGCTGCTGTGTTATTTTCTGGAGAGTCCACACTGTAGACTGGAGACTCTGAGGTCAGTTCACTATCACTACTATTGTAGATCTGATATGTTTAATTAACAATTGAACCTAATTTATGTTCATACATAACTTACATCCATAAAGTTATAAATTTCCTTTTGTTTGTATTTTCATGTTTGATTAACTAAATTAAGTCTGCAGTCACAAAGACTTCTGCTTGTTAAATAAACTGTAGAAAATGTCCACTGTTAGTTGTTAAAGTAAATAAATGTTTATAATTGTTGGTAAATTGTCATATCTGTATACAGAAGATCCTCTGAACTAATATTTGTTTTAAACTAGTCAAGTTCACTGAAGGAGAAATATTTCTTTGGTTTCTGTTGATTTCAGTTTGTTTTCACAAATAATATCTGATCATTAATATTAATCCTTCAGAACACACACACACACACACACACACACACACCTGCACACGCCAACATCACTAACAGGGGACTATGAGACTACACTACCCAACAGGGGACTTCTATTTCTGGTTATTTAAAAATAAACTGCATAGAAAAATTTTAGTTTAAGGTATTTAACCATATTACTTTAAATGTAATTAATTAAAATGTAATTTTTTTAAAAGAAATTACCAAGAGGGGCCTTTTTCCCTTTTGCGTTGTCTATCTATCAAAGAGGGGACCACCATATACTGCAGTGGAACTGCTTCTACCCCTTCTTTCACCTAATGAAAATTAAGCAAAATTAGAAAAACAACCAGGAAAAAATTAGTAGTAAAGTGGTCAGAAGTAAGATCTTTTCTATTCAGTTTTAAAGGCATACTATGCAGTTTTCCGATTTTGTCAAACAGCTACCCCTAGATTCGCTGCGGAGTACTTGTATTTAACGTTAACTGTTGTAAATACCACTCACCAGAGCCGTCTCTAGATACGGCTCTGTGTCTCTGCACTCATGGCCTGATCCCCTACCCCCTGTATACCGGTACATGTTCAGTAGGATGGAAGCATCGGACATCGAACAGGCAAAGATAGATAGATAACTTTATTAATCCCACAATGGGGAAATTCACTTGTCACAGCAACATTTGAGTGAAATAAATATATGGATAAACTGGTGGAAGGTTGGGAGTGTGGACGAGAGAGAAAAGTGGTCCCCTGTGATGATCATGAAATCCCCTGTGATTATGATGAAGGCCTCCAGGTGTTTCGTTTGTAGTCCTGCAGTGTGGATGACGTCACGCTGCTTTTGCTTTCCCAGACGGAGGAATATAGACAGTGATGATGATGATGAAGACCACTGTGATGAATATAGACAGTGATGGCGATAACACTGGGAAATTCCCAGGGCAGATAATATGGACGTAGTCTGACGGCAACAAGCTCGATGTCCAGGCTGCAGACATGCTCTTTCACACAGACGTGCCCGGGGTTACACCACCTGTTGTTTATGAGCACGGCAAGTCCCCCCTCCTTTCTTCATGCCGGTCGCGGTGGTGTCCCTGTGGCCAGAGGATTCTTGGGAGGATTCCATGCTGGTAGACCCAGGCCTTTAATCTTCCAGGGAGCCCAGACTTGTCCACTGTTCTCAACCAGCCCTCCAAGTCAGCACTGGTTGCCTTGATGGAATCTCTGTCATTCAGACTACAGTTGAAGACTGAAGGGATCTGGTGTTCTCCCAGCCTGAAGCGGAATTTGTCTGTGACCTTCCCCTTCTTTAGAACCAAGGACCTGGACTTCGCAGGTTTAAAACTCATGCGTGCCCACGCCATGATGCTCTCCAAACCCCTGAAGGATCCACCTGGCTCCTGGTACAGCTGTTGTTGTCACTGTGAGGTCGTCCATGAAGGCTCTGATGGGAGGTTGCCTTACTCCAGACTTGCTGAGGCGACCTCTGCATTCTGGTTCCGCTGCCTTGACCAGCATGCTCATTGCTAGTGCGAAGAGGGTCACTGAGATTGTACAACCAGTTATTATGCCCACTTCCAGCTGGTGCCAGTCAGATGTCATCTGGCCAGAGGACACTCTCAAGCTGAACTTGCTGTAGTAGTCCAGGATGAGGTCTTTCACCTTCTGTGGTACATGGTGTTTCTCTAGCACGACCTCCACCAGCTTGTGGGGTATCGAGCCATAGGCATTGGTGAGATCCAGCCATAGCACAGCCAGATCCCCTCCGCCTTCTCTTGCCTCCTTGATGAGCTGGGTTACCACGCCTGTGTGTTCCAGGCAACCAGGAACCCCCGGTATTCCTCCCTTCTGCACTGATGTGTTGATGTACTTATTGCTCAACAGGAAGTTGGAGAGTCTCTTGGCTATGATACTGAAAAAGATTTTGCTCTCCACACTGAGCAAGGAGATGACACGAAACTGGTCGATGCTCTTAGACTTTTCATCCTTCGGTATGTACACTCCCTCTGCGTACCTCCATGACTGGACGATCTTTCCTCTCCTCCAGATCACCTTCAGGGCCCTCCAAAGCCGGTGTAATAGCTTCGGGCAGTTTTTATACATCTTATAAGGCACTCCACTTGGGCCCGGTGCCGAACTTGATTTTGCTCTCTGCACCGCTTCCTCCACTTCACTAAGGCCGGGCTCCTTCAGGTTGAAGTCCGATATAGGCTCTGTTGGTATTGTCAGTGCATCGCATGGGCCCAGTGGCCGTTCTCTGGTAGGGTCACTGTACGTGGCCTTGAGGTGGTTGTTAATAACATCCTTGGAGCAGGTAAGGTGGCCAGTCCTCTTTTGACCAAGGAGCTGCTTGGTCAACTTGAAGGGATTGGCCAGGAAAGCTGTTCTCTTCCTGGCTCTCTCTTTCCGCCTCCTCCTGTTGAACTCTGCCCTCCGCAGGGTCATAAGTTGTTTCCTTAGGATTGCTCTCAGGTCCGCTAGGCCAAGTCTCTCAATTTCCCTGCTGTCTTGTACTGCCTTTTTAGCAGCTTGAGCTCTTCCTTGAGGCTCCGGATCTTTCTTTCTCTATGGCTTGGGGCATAGACCGATGGCGTGGGCTTGGGTGCCTCGGTTCCAAATCGCTCAGCCGCGATGCTCACTATGAAGGTGGTCATCGTTTTCAGCCGACAGTCCACATCCCCCTTGGCTGTCACTTCCAGGACCTGATCTATGTCCTCATCGAACTGCTGCCACTCAGATCTCTTCGAGGATTGGGGCCACTGGATCCTTGGACGGGCCGAAGGTGCACAACCAGTTGTTATGGTTGGAGCTTGCTGGCTTTGGAGGCTTGGTGGGTTGTTGGGACTCTTGGGGGCTTATGGTGGCATGTGAGCTGTTGGCAGCGGGTGTTGGCGGCACTAGGAGGCTCTGGGCACTGTGAGTTGCCTCCGGGCCTGGTTCCTCCTGCGTCTGACCAGAAGTGGCTTCTGTGCGTTGTGTCGTCATTGCCGCTGTCAAACATTTCATTTTGCCTTGATGGATATTTAAACCCCTCTGATTCTTGCAGGTTTTACCGCAGATACACTGTACTGTCGTCGTCGTTATTCCGTTGTCCTGGGTCGTCGTTCCTTGGTCTGTCCTGTTGGGGTGCTCATCCTCCCTCTCTCTCGGGCACCCCTGGGGGTTTTTTCCCTTTGTCTTGTCTGTAGCTTGCTTTGGGTTCTTCCTCTCGGAAGAAGTGGCTTGGGCTGCCATCCCTCCCCACCCCGGGTTGCCGTATCTCCGGCCGTCCTCTGTCTCTCCAGATGTCACCACACTTTTCGTGGTCGTCACCCAGTCTGTTCCTGGTTGTCACTGGTACTCCCAGAGGTTTCAGTTAATGATACATCTACTGATGCTCAGCCTTGGACACATCCTCAGTGTTGTTTCCTGGAGTCACTGGGTGTTTCGGGTCTTGCAACAGACACCCTCCTCCAGGCGACCCGACCGAGGCTGATCAGACCCCGGCCTGTGTCCAAGTGGCATTCCACTACCCCCGCTGCTCTCCCCTCTTCAACCAGAGCCATCTGGAGGCTTTTTCCGCTGCCTCCACGTTGTTGCCTATGGCAGATTGTATTAAAATTAAGGGCTATCCAGAAGGAAGGACAGTAATTACTAGTAAAGTTTAAAGTAATTTAAATAGAAAAAAACAGGATAAAATCATGAATTAAATGAGCAGCAGCATGATCCTTTCTTTTTAGTTTAAATTAATAAAAAGACATTCACACCCCATCATGGATGAATAAAAAAGAAATAAGCAAAATTCTTAGGAGTAAGTAATAATCTAAATGAATATAATATAATCTAGAGTGATTTTTTTATTTTTATTAAAGTGGCACCAGCAATGTTGTCATTGTGGTTTTTTTAAATGTGGAGTGTATTGCGAAACATATAGAAAACCTATCATGACACAATATGTAAGTGAAGCAACAAAAATGACTTATTTTGGACATATCTAAAGGACAAGTCAGTTAGAGGATAGATTAACCCCAAGCAGCCACTGTAGTCACTGGTGAAACTGTGTAGCTTAATTTGCCTTATTGTCCACTGTTAGTTGTTAAAGTAAATGAATGTTTATAATTGTTGGTAAATGGTCACATCTGGATACAGAAGATCCTCTGAACTAATGTTTGTTTTAAACTGATCAAGTGTACTTGTTGAAGGAGAGATATTTCTTTGGTTTCTGTTGATTTCAATGTGTTTTCAAAATGTCTGATCATTGATATTGATACTTCAGAACACACACACATACACATGCAAACACCTACACACAGATCAAAGCATATTTCCAATGCAGCTGTTTAAAAAATCAATATAGTATTGATCATCTAATTACAGACATGACTGAGATCAGCAGCATGCTATTGTATAAGTGTACTTTCTTTTTTTTTAGATTATGAATCAAAAATGATAAATATGATAAATAAATAAATAATCTGTATTTTAGCTAATCAGACAATAACAAATATATTCAGTATTTGCTCTTTCCAACATTTTTATGAAGCTATATGATGTTTATACTGACTGAATAGTTTAAATTAAAGATGCTTTGATTTTATGACTCCACTATTCTTAAAAGAAATATTGTGGATGTCTTTTGTTCACATTTTCTAAACTTGTACATT